GAAATTTTATAGTTTATAGCCCTATATATTTAATTATAAAACTCTAGAACTTTGGGGAGATGTTATGTCTAATGTTATAATTATAACTATCATCCCTCCTACTCACTCTTCCTTTCTTAATGATAAAGATCAATTCTTGCATTTCATTTTAATAATTATAGAGTATAAAAATCAGTATAATTTACCAAAAAGTATATGTATGTTTAAGTAGCTGCCAAGGGTAGAATTATTTCAGTAATAACAAAAACATTTTGATTCAAATCCCACGGATCAATAACTATTCAGTTTAAAACAGAAAATAGAAACAGAAAATAGGCAGTGACCTGAACTCTTTCTGGACTGCTAAAGGAATATTGACCCAGATGGATCAAAGTTCTAAAGTGTTATTTGCATCTTTAAAATAGGACACTATGAGTCATAAAACACTCAAATCATACACTTGAAATATATAAAGCATTCATATGGCATACCTAGCAAGAAAATTCCACATAAAATTTAACATTTACCTTGTTTGATTTTTATATTTAATTTTAATTTTATGTGTATGAGTGTATTGCCTGCAAATGTGAACGTGCACCCATGTGGTGCAATGCCCTCAGAGGTTAGAAGAGGTGTTGGATCCCCTGGAAATGGAATAATGGATGGTTGTCAGCCACTATGTGGGTGCTGGGAATCAAACCTGAGTCCTCTGTAAAAGAAGTCGGTGCTCTTAACTGCTGAGCCATCTCTTTAGCCCCTTGATCTTATATTTTATATTGAGGCATAACTTGTGTACTACAAGGTTCATAAATCTTATATGTATAGCACAAAATTTTACACACACACACACACACACACACACACACATCACACTCAGGACCTCATATAACTATATATTTCTTTTTGAGACCAGGGTTTGCTATATAGCCTAGGTTGGTCTCCAACTTGTGCTCTTCCTGCCTCAGCCTGCAGAGTGTGGGGTTGTAGGAGTGCACTCCACACACTCCTGGCTTTGAATAGCTCCCTTTGGTTCTCTGTCAACCCCATTAATATTCACTTCAAAAGTCACCAAAATTCCATTTTTTGTCCTTATAGAACAATGTGGCTTGCTCTACAATTTTGTCCAAATGGAAAACAAGCAGCATATTCTTTACATCTGGCTCATACTGTGTTTGAGTCTTGTTTTAATGTTGCTGTGTTTATAGATCCACAGTATCCGGCTAAATAGTCTACTTTGCCCAACTTGATTCTTTACTCAGATTGTATTGGCTATTTCAGGAACTTTACACTTAAATGACATTTTTCGGTGTGTGTGTGTGTGTATGTATGTGGTATATGCTTATGTGTGTTTTGTATGCTTGTATGTATGTGGGGTATGCTTTTGTGTGTGTGTGTGTGTGTGTCTGTGTAGGTCAGAGGTCTATGTTGGGTGTCTTCTCCAATTGCTTCCTTAGAGACAGGGACTCTCACTGAACCTGGAGCTCACCCATTTGGCTAGGCTGGCTGATCAGTGAGCTTCAGGGATCACCTGTCTTTGCTTCCCCCAGCACTGGGATCACAGATGTGCTCCTACTCTTTATGTGAGTGCTGGGAATGAAGTCGGGTCCTCATACTTGCCCAGCAACTGCTTTACTGACTGAGTCATCTTCCCAGCCCCCTAAATTACACTTACATTACAAAATTTAAGTTAAAGAACCCGATTGTGAGGCTAGGTGAGGCTAGAGGCTAGGAAAGTGGCTTAATGGTAGAGTACTTGCCTAGTGCTGTCTTGTGCGGCTGGGTAGTGGTGGACTACTTCATTTAATATAACTTGTTTTAGTGTAAGTCTTTTGTCTTTCCTTGTAGTTGCCCTAGGTATGCGAGGGCATTTTTTATATTAATGTGGCAAACTTTCAAGGTGAATTTTTCTGTTTGTTTCTGTTATATATAAATTCTACTAATTTTATGCAATAAATGGTAAAATATGTGAAGTATGCAATTTTTGTGTATTGGTAGTTCTAATTAATTTATTAACTTTAATGGTTTTGCCTAATTTTACCTCAAGTCAGACAAAATCCCAGTATAGACATGGGGAAGTGGATAAAAAATCCCAGTCCTACCTGAGGAAGTATTTGCAACCAATGGCTGCTGGGAAGGGGAGCATCAGTCTCGTTTAAGGGTAAGTTTCTTGGTAAGCTGACCAGGCTCCAGTGGATGAACCCACACCAAAGGGCATATTAGTGTACATGAAATTGGATGGGAGGTTGTAAGGAGGGGTTCAAGTTGGGGAGGGGATCTAAATATGATAAAAATATATTGTATGAAATTTGCAAAAAAAAAAAAAATCAATAGAAAAGCAGGAAGAAAAGAGAAAACAATCACACCATTATAAATCAACCAAAGAGGGGCTGGAGAGATGATTCAGCAGGTAAGAGCACTGTAAGCTCTTGAACAAGACTCAAGTTCAGATCCCAACACCTACATGGCAGTTAACAACCATCCATTACTCCAGTTCCAAGGAATCTGATGCCCTCTTCTGACTTCTGCAGGCATTGCATGATATGGGTGCACATACACACATGTAGGCAATACACTCATACATATAAAATGAAAATAATAAAGGAAATATTTTAAAAAGTTAAATGTTAAAGCTGGGTATAGTGGCACACGCCTTTAATCCTAGCACTTGGGAGGTAGATCTCTGTGAGACAGAGACCAATCTGGCCTACATAGTGAATTCCAGGTCAGTTGGTGCAAAGGAAAAATAAATAAATAAATAAATAAATAAATAAATAAATAAATAAATAAGCAAATAAAAAGGTTAGCTGTTATATCACACCATCTAGTCATTCTGTGCCTAGGTATTTTCCAGGAGAAATACAAGTTTTACATGCATACAAGTATTTGTAGACAGATATATTCATAGCGGTCTTATTTGTAGTAGCAAACTCTGGAAACAACCAAAATTGCTATCAATACATTAATGAAGAAAAAATAGGTATTTCTATACATTGGAATTCCTTTTGCAATAAAAAGGAATTGGGAGGCAGAGGCAGGTGGACCTCTGTCAGATCAAGGCCAGTCTGGTCTACATAGCAGGCCAGCTGGGGCTACAGGGAGACTTTATCAAACCCAAATCAACCAACCAACCAACCAACCAACCAACCAACCAACCAACCAGCCAGCCAAACAAACAAACAACCTAAATAACAACAGCAATAAAAAGAAAAACAAACCACACACACACACAAAAGAGTTATCTATTAGTGGCTCAAATGCCTAATTCTTTCTGAGGAAGTTAAGAAGACTTTGCCAGGTTGGAAGGCCCTGTCATTTAAGATGCTTTCGAGGCCCTTAAGTATTTAGTATTTGAAGGAGTACATCACTGATGATACAGAGCCAAATTATACATCACCTCATAGGTAGAAGTATTGTTTTATTAATCACTGCCCTATACTACTTTATGTGCTTAATTCATAACTCATTTACTTCAGAGAGTTGCACCAGTGAGTTCTATTTAACAGTAATTCACAATTACAGTGTACTGGAAATTGCCATTTGTATTTTAGTAATATTTAATTTTTTTCTTTTTTGAAACAGGGTCTTGTGTAGCACTGGCTGGCCTGGAACTCCCTGTGTAGCTGAGGATAACCATAAACTGCTGATCTGAAGTGTTCGGATTACAGGAGTGAGCATTAAGTCCAATACATTTAATATTTTTATGTGCTTTTATGTTCTGTGCTGTTCTCTTACATGAGTAAATGATTATTAAAACGTCATAAGGTAGATGATATTACTGTCTCCATTTATAGAGACAAGCTGTAATCTTAAAATTTATTTAAAGGTGTAAAACACTTAAAAGTTATATAAAATGAACATCTGTATTTTTACATAAAATTTTGTCTTGGAATAGTAAACAAACTATTTAGAATCAGAATTCAGATCCAGATCGTTTACAAATACAAAATTAATTTTTGTCTCTCCCATTAATTCTATTACCAATAGTAAAAAACTGAGTAAAGGAATTTATTTCTAGAATTTGACATTTGCATTTGATACAAAGTATTTAAAAAACAAGCTACAACAAAGCATTTTGTTCAGTATAATAAAGTTCGTGTTTTTACACAGCATTATTAACTTTAAGAAACGAGGACCTTTAATAATAGGTTATAGATTTATGAATCTAACGTTCATCATACCCTCCTAAGGCCAGTGTAGTGTTGAAAAACTATACTAAACACTCTCAGCAAGGTGCACATAGTTTTGTATTTGATGAATAGCTAATGAAAATATCTTTACCATGTGTTTACAGCTAAGGGCAGATGACTGTTTATTAGAGACATTTATGCCGGATGAAGCCCATACCTGAAGCCATGAATCACACGAAAGCAAGGTGACCTGTTGTAGGTAAATTCTAAATTTAACCCTAATTAGTTGTTCAGCGTCTTTCCCTCCACTAAGGCTTGCTATGTTTACTGGTTTTTTTTTTTTTTTTTTTTTAAGCTTTTACTATGTAACCCCAGCTCTATGTGGACCAGGCTGGCCATGATGTAGCGTCTTTCCCTCCCCTATGGCTTTTTTTTTTTTTTTGTTTTTTTTTTTTTTTTTTTTTAAGCTATAGCCCCAACTGGTCTGGAACTCTATGTAGACCAGGCTAACCTCGATTTCCTGGAGATCCGCGTGCCACTGCCTCCCTAGGGCTGGGTCTAAGGCATGCACCACCACACCAGGCTGGTTTAATTATTATATGACATTAATATAGGTTTGTTGCGTGCCTGTCGTGCGCCAAACCAGCCCTAAAAGCTGAAAGACAAAACAAAGTCCCTGGTCTTGTTGAGCAAACAGCTGTCCACATATCCGAAGCTAAACGTGGAAAATAATACGCAGCGCTTGGGTAGGCTAAGATTCCCCGCAGATCATACTCAATCCTTAGGTGGCTGAATTTCCGGCTGTAAAGTCCACGTGGGAAGACAGGCTGTAGGCGGGGCTACGCTGCACCCGCCTGTGCGCGGAGCCACGCGCCACCCGCCTTGCGCACCAGTGCGCACGCGTCCCCAGGGCGGCCTGCTGTGACCCTGTGAGGTTGCCGTCGTGTAGTGCGCAGGTACGACGTCGCGTATGCGCAGACGCTCGGCGCAGAGGCCTGCCGGAAGCCAAGATGGCGCGTAAGAGGTCTCCGTTCCGCGTTTGGCGCCTTGTCAGGCTCTGAGCCGGTGCTTTGGGCAGGGCTGTGGCTCACGCCCTCGGCGCGGCGATGGCCCGGCATCGAAATGTCCGAGGCTATAACTACGATGAAGGTAGGTTGCGGGGCCGCGCCGCCTCATCGTTTTAGCTGTCCCAGCTGCGACCCTAGCCGGTTTACAGCCACTTGGATGAGTCCGGACAACCGAGCAGGACCAAAATTGGTGGTGTTGGGAATGGCGGGAGTTGGGCAACGTAATCGAACGTCTGAGCCCCGGTGAGGGAAGTTTCGTAGTGATCTCTGCCTTTTGGGGTGGACATTGTTTACGGAGGGGGGAAGGGCCCCTTGGCCTCTCAAGGGCCTAAGGGTGTTTGGCGAGCTTGGGAGCTAGTGTTGTTAGGTATACAAGCGTTACTTCCTTTCTCTTTGTCTCATTTGGACACTCACGTGCCCGCTTCTCACTACTGCCTCCCAAGTCCCCTGTCAGAGTTGTCCATGAAACCTTATTTGTAAAACACAGAGTTTCTTAGTGCATGTGCTCAGCTGACCTGTAACTGTTAGCTTTACATAATGAATCTTTTGCGTGTGTTGGTGGGTATTAAATGCAGAACCTAGCTTCTGATTTTTCAGCGGATTTCGAAATTGGGCACGTAGAAACAATAGAAAAGATAGATGTTAAAAAGGCCCGAAGAATAAGATGATCAACTGATCTTGAGGTGCGTACTTAGTTCTTGACTGATAACACCTAATGTAAGTGTATTTTGAAATGCAAGTAAAAAGCAGCACTTAGAAGAAAGGACATGGAAAACGACTTGTTGATTAGAAAAAGAAAGAAAATGTATATATGTCTGTACTCTAGGAATTAAAAGAAGTTAGACGAGGGTTAGAAAGAGTAGTCATATAGCAATTGTATAATGGTAGGCATCACGGAGCATCATAGGAACATAAAATAAAAACAAATGTGGACTAATGCAAATTGAATCCAGGCCTATTGTTTTGTAAAATGTGGAGCTTGTAATGTTTAAGTGTATTGGTGGTTATTACAGACACCGCCAGTAGGTTGTCGTGGAATGTGAGGGTACTCTGATAGAGTAGAACAGCTAACACCCTGTGCTACATTTGGATGCTTTAATCCAGTTTGCCTTTCATGTGTTAATTTTCAGGCATTCACTTTAGAATGGAGGCCCTTTAAGTATTGTAGTGGCTGTATATAATGATGCAGGGACCCCTGTTATTAATTTATATCTTTAGTTATTTCCTCATCCAATGATAATTTAGTACTTAAAACATTGTTTTGAGATACTGAGGGCTGTTTAAAAACTATTAAAGTAACAGATGGTTAAAGTGTGAGAGACACTACAAAAAGGAATGACCAATCTAAGAGATCCTATATAGAGAACATCTGAATCAGAAAGGATCAGGTTGTGAAGTTTTTGACTAGACTGTTCCCTGTCTTCTGAGAGTCAGTGCTAATTACCTGCTCACCTTTGGGTACGTGAGGTAAGGTTATGTTTCTTTTTAACAATTGGTGGCATCATAACCAAGCCTTTCCTGTCTTGGGAAGGTGTCCCCTTTTCTTTCTTATAAAAGCTTATTCATTTTCAGTGACCATTTTTCTTCTTTCCAGTTAGTCTTTCCTTTGGAATTTTAATAATAATTTAAAAATTTACAAAAGCATTCTAGTTTCATTGTAATCTGGTCCAAAACTGATTCCTCTGTTTAACTCTTGCTTTGTTTTTCTCTGTTTGCAGTACTTTACATGACTGCTTCAGCTATTTGGAACTTCTAATGTTTATTATTTTTCTCTAAGCATACATAAAAGTGGAAAAAATAGTGTAATAAGCCCAACTTCCCGCAGCCCGTGTAGCAACCATGGACATTTGTCAGTTTTCGATCACCAATTTCCTTTTCTCACATTTTCATGTTTCATCTTGAGTTTCCAAACAAAATTTGAAAGAATACATTGTTAACTTTTAATAAAATAATGTCGTTTTTAAGATAACATCATAAAATAATCTTTATAATCTGATCATATATATGTTATGTATTTTAAATGATCTTATTTTTAGTAATAGTTGAAACAATTTTTTCTTGGACTTTGAACTCTTTACCAAACCATTTTAAGATCTTTTGAATGATATTCCATTTAATATAGGTACCAGATTTTCATTATCCATTCATGGCATGTGTGGATATGCCATAACATTTAGAAAGGAAAACAAGAAAGGGTAATTCTACTTACTTTTTAAAATTATTTTATGTGTATAGTGTTATGCCTGTAGTGCCTGAGGAGGTCAGAAGAGGAAGTCAGATCTCCTGGAACTGGAGTTGGTGGTTGTTAGCCATCATGTGGGTTCTGGGAACCAAACCTAGGTCCTTTCCAAGAGCATCCAGTGTTCTTAGCCACTGATCCATCTCTCTAGGCCCCTTTGGTTGATTTATAATGGTGTGATGGGTTTTTGTTTCTTTGTTTGTTTGTTTTTCTTACATTTTTATTGATTTTTTAAAATTTCATACAATATATTTTTTTTCAAAAATTTTATTATTTCTATTTTGTGTATATGATTGTTTTGCCTGTATGTATGTAAGCGCACCTGTGTCACGCAGTGCCCACTGAGGTCAAGAGGACATCGAATCCCCTGGAACTAGAGTTATGGATGGTTAGCAGCCATGTGGGTGCAGGGATCTGAATCTGAACCTGGGTTCTGTGTAAGAGCAGTCAGTTCTCTTAACCGCTGAGCCATCTCTCCAGCCCCAAGAAAGGATAATTTTAAAAGGCATGCTAATGAGTTCATATGTACAGTATACATGGTCTAAGTCCTTTGTACCTTCTCTCAAGAAATACTACATTTTTAATGCAAAATAAGCCCTTAAGTGGACAGGTAGTCACAAATGACTCTAGGAGAGGCTGTAGATAACCTTATAGGGAAATCTGAATTTTAATTATGTTTTTTTCTTATTCTTTGAATACTTCTGTATGCTGTACTTTTAAAAAATAAATTCCAATCAATCTTAATAAAAATAAGTTCAGAATATCCTATACAAAGAGATTATTAGAAGACAGTTTTATGTAGAGCAGGCTAGACTGAAACTCACAAGGCTGATCTTGAATTCCTGATCCTCCTGCCTCTGGCCTCTATCTCCCAAGTTCCAAGATGACAGGCATGGCCCACCAGGCCTGGTTATGGGGTGCTGGGGATCAGAATCTAGGGCTTTGTGCATGCTGGACATGCCCTCTATCAACTAAACTACATTCCCAGCCCAGCTTGTCTAGTTTCAAAGCCCTGCTTTAATTTTATGTGTAGTCTAGTATCTGGTGTGATGCCTTTCATGCAGTAAATACTCCAAAATTTTGTTGAATAACTACTTTGCAAAGATTGTAGGAAAGAATTTTCTTCATATTTCTAATATTGTAGCACTTTTTATTTCATTACTGACCAACTGATCTAGTCAAAATGATTCTTTTCTTGTTTTTTGTTTTTGAGACAGGGTCTCCCTGTAGCCCCAAGCTAGCCTGGAACTCACTATGTAACCTAGGCTGGGCTTATCTCACAGAGATCTGCTTGCCTCTGCCTCCTGAGTGCTGGAAGCAAAGGTGTGCTCTACCACTCCCAGCATAAAAATGATCCTTAATACCAAAAATGCATTTTGAGGGTTGTGGATGACATTTCTTGATTATTATTTATTAGTTTGGGATTAATGTCCAGTAGTTTATTCAATGTTGCATATTTTTATCCAATAGTAGCAGCCATATAAATTTGCCCTGCCACTACATTTGGTTTCAGTCTTTAAGCACACTGTTCCTGTCTCATGACTACCTTAAAAGACTGGCTAGCCCTATCCTTTGGAATTGGTTTGAGTGTTATATTCGTGGGGGAAATTCTAGTTTGGTTCACATATGTGTTCCCAAATTGCTCTGTATTTCTAATGTTGCACTTATCCCGTGATTTTGTAATTGTCTTTTTCTGGTCTGTCAGAGGGGAATGTGCTCCCTTTGTACTGAAAGTGCCTCTAATAGTGCCTGCCATAGTGTTATTATTTAGTGAATCAGTGTATTTATGTTCCTTACAGAGTTTTAGTAGCTTGATTTATTAACTTCTAAAACACATTGCTGATTTATTGCCACATGTATGCCAGCCATGTAGCTAAACTAAATTTTGCTCTGAAGGAGCTGCTCTTATGTATTGAAACAGATGTGGTACTTTGAAGACAAGAAATTAAGAGGAGGCTGCTGGGAAGTAAAGGTGGCAGGAAGGTCTGTTAGATTGCCCAGTTAGTTAGGGAAGAATTTTGGAAAGAGGTGGCATTAAAACTGGAGGCTTACCTAGATAAAGAATCAACCGTTGGAAATTCTGGATTACTGAATGTATATATTCCATTCAGTAAGAGGCCAGTTAGCTGTTAACCAAGTACGGTTTCCTAGTTCTACATGAAGAATTACTTACGGTTTGATCATATAACCTCTACTCAACAGTTCTGTAAAAAAAAGATCTCTGGCTATAGAGAGCAGGTGGGTGGCTTACTTCAGGTTTTGTTAACATTTGGAAAGGCAATTTTCTGTATGATCACATGAGGTAAAAACTTGAGACAATTTAATAAAACCAAATTAGCATAAGAGCAGAAGAACCATGTATATCTTTTAAATATAGTCAATAAGTATCTATTTTGTGGGTAAAGGTCTTGGAATTTATGAAAAAGTAAACATTTCACATTCCTTGATTTTGACAGTTTAACTTATTTTGGGGAGAATTTAGGTGTTTTGTCATGAATAAGGAAGACTAGAAAAAAACTTATAAATAAATCTGTTTTTTGCCTTTTAGATTTTGAAGATGATGATTTCTATGGCCAATCTGTGGAGGATGATTATTGTATTTCACCATCAACAGGTAAATTGTAAAAAGAAATTGATTTTCTTGATTTGGCTGTTTAAAATTGCTACGTACGTAGTATTGTTATTCTGAGCCAGAGTGTTTCATAAGACTATAATATTTAACATTTAAAAAGGTAGGTGTCTGTCTGTTTGTGAGTGTACATCTATTTATACATACATAGGTGTTAAAATTTAAAGTTTTAACAATAGTTTATTTCGAAAACAAAAGCAAAAACCCTGTGTAATCTAGGGTGGCCTTGAACTCCTGTTGGCCTTCCACCTTTGGCCTGCTAAATACCACCTGCAAGAATTTCTTTATCTGTAATTTTAAATGCTTTTTCAAATCGTGTGTGTGTGTGTGTGTGTGTGTGTGTGTGTGTGGGTGGGTGGTGTATGTGCACGTTTGTACAGGTTCATGTTCTGGCACACGGTGTTGTCCAGAGGAGGACCTCACATATCCTGCTTTATCACTTTCTGTCCTATTCCCTTGAGACAAGAACCTCACTGAACCTGGAGATATGCTGGTGGCCAGTGAGCACCAGAGATCCTCCTGTCTCTACCACCCACAGTGCTGGATTACAAACGTGTGTAGTTACATCTGGCTTTTTACATGGGTACTGGGGAATTGAACTCGGGCCCTCATTCTTGTGCAGTAAGAGCTCTTACCTACTAAGCCATCTCCCTAGCCCCCATGTTAATAATTTTTAAAATTTTGATTCCATTACTTAATTTTAGCAGTTTGAAAAAAGCTTTGAAGACTATTTTTTCCTAATATTATCTGTAATGTGCGGTTAATTTAAATGCACTTAAAATGATAATTTGATCAGTAGTGAAATTTTAAAATCTCTGAAGGGGAGTTATTAGTAAATGTTCTATCTCAGGAATATTTTGAATAGTAGATGTTTATGGCTAGCATTGGGAGCCATTTATTTAGGACCATAGTGGTAAGTACTGGATTTGAACACGGATTTTAGAGTTAGAAGAGTTGAGATCTACAGGACTTGGAAATTAGTTGAGTATGAATTGTAGTTGGATGTGAATTGAAATATAAATGAAGAGTAGACTTCATACAGTGACTGCTCACAAATACTGTGAATTAACAGGCATTGATATAGGCTCTAGATAGATACATTTAGTACTAAGTAGTGTGCTAATAGTATAAAGGTATACATTTGGGCCCTGGCTTTCTTGAAGACTGGATCAGAGTTTATATATGTGTCTCTTACAGCATGATACGTGTCTTGCACGTGTTCATACTGTGGATGCCCTGACCGTGAGAGTTACTGTTATGCACATCAGGAAGTCCTCTGACATCAAGCAGGAGGTAGTTAAATGACTTTGTTCTTTGACAGACTTATTTTTAGCAGAAGCATGTGAATTTGGATTTTGTTATTTTTTAGAACATTTACAGGGCTGGATATGTAGCTTAGTGGGCATGTGTGAGGTCCTGGGTTTGAACCCCAACATCACCCTGCAGGAAAAACAGAAGCAAGAACATTAATAACACTGAGAACAGTTGTAGAAAAGAAAGCCATTTGCCACATAGCAGTAGTATCAGATCAGAAACTAGTTTCCTCTTTTTTGAGAAAGGGACATGCTCTGTAGCCTGAGTTTAGCATGTAGTTTAATGTATAGCACAAACTAACCTGGAATGTAGGATCTCTTGCTTTAGCTTCCTGAGTGCTAGGGTTTACACACCTGTGCCATCATGCGCTTGACTTAGTTTCCTCTTTAGTGATAGATTAATTTCCAATAAGAAATGAATAGTTTTGGAATAATTTCTGTTCTTAAAGAAGCAGCTTGCCCAGATAATCAGCAGTAGGATTTGCTGCAATGGGATTTGTTGACTTCTTTGTGAAAATGACCTGTGTCTGTATTAATACTGTCATTGTTGGTGGCTGAATACTTTATAGAAGAGTATTTTTCATCTTGGGGATTAGTGAACAAATGATGGTTTGAGAAGCTCAGGGAATAAAAATCGGCCTTCGTATTTTGTGGTATGCCATGAAAGAGGTGAGCATGCTCATGGTCAGATGAAATCTGCTAATTGAGTTGCTTTACCAATTAACAGGAATTCTAAAATTTATCAACATATGAATGTATTTTGATTTCTAAGCATACATTTCTTTTTTAAAAAATATTTATTTTTATTTTATGCATATGAGGGTATTGCCTGCATGTATGTAAGCGCATCCATGTTGTGCAGTGCCCTTGGAGGTCAGAAGAGGGTGTCAAATCCCCTGGAACTGAAGTTATGGATGGTTGTTAGCAGCCATGTGGGTGCTGGGAACTGAACCCTAGTCCTCTGCAAGAGCCGCTAGTGCTCTTAAGTGCAGAGCCATCTCTCCAGTCCCATTTAAGCATATATTTTTTGATGGAAGGTGATTTTTAAATGTAGCTTTAAAAATTTTCCTTTAGAAAGATTTTTATATTGATTATTGAATATATGTCAGGGTGATGATAGCAAAAAAGCATGGAAAACAGCTCGAATGGTATAGTTTTTGTTTTAACTAATGTGAGGATAAGTAATCCTCCTTTGGTCCATTTTAATTCAGAACCTTTATTATCTAACATATTTGTGAATTAAGTATAAGGCAGCTGTTGAAGGTCCTGTTCAGTTTATTGCTAGTCTGATGGGTTAGGACATAATCCTAACTTCGGGAGTTCCGAGGGGAGGGGCAATTGGAGCTGGTAAATTGGGGGGTGAGAATAGCATGCAGATAGTGGTGGCCTCTGAATGAAATTGTTTTGGGAGACTCCCAGAACTCTTACCAGTTATAGTAGAAAAGACCAGGAAAGGAAATAGGAACCAAATTGTGAAAGATGTTTCACACTGTGTATTTGTGCTGAAGTTTACTAGAAGTATTTAAGGAGAGGGATGGATGGCATTTGGGCAGGTAACTGATGAGGGCATACAAAATACACTACATGTGGGGCAGATAAAGGCTGGGGGTGTGGGTGAAGACTTGTAGAACAGTGTTAACCTTCCCTGATGGTATTGATTAGTTGGAATTGTGAAATACAAGTTTCTTGCTCCTTTCCAGCATCACCTCATCGGACTCTCCAAAGGAAGAAGCCTAGAGAGCTGTATATTTAATGTATGCTCATATGGGTTTTACTTTAAGGTGTTTAGGAAAAGATTGTAGGTAGTTTTAGGACTTAGGGTTTGAATTCCTTGAACTTTTATATACGTCATAATATCTTAAATTTAAAAATTACTACAGGTGTCCTTTTTTAGAAAACACACCAAAGCTTATGATTTAAAAAAAAATTTAAGTATTTTATGTGTAAGAATGTATTGCCCATATATATTTAAGTGCACCTGTGATGTGCAGTGCCCGCAGAGGTCAGAAGAGGGCATTTGATCTCCTGGAACTGGAGTTACTAATAATGGTTGTTAGCCACCATGTGGGTGCTGGGAACCAAACCTGTGTTCTCTGCAAGAGCAGCTAGTACTCTTGAGCCATCTCTCCTGTTCAGTGATTAAAATTTTAAAGACTAACATTTTATGTTTATTTTTTTTTACCACTGTGCTTTTATTTTTATTGTATTAGTTCCCTTTTGAGCTTTGATTTCAACATCAAGGTTTGGACTGCCCCCTGTACCTGTCTGTCCCCACTTTGACCTCAGCCTGTACTTATCATGTTGACCTTTTGACAATCCCAACCATTAGTACTTCCAGGACAGTACCCATAGTGCAAGTCTGCAAGTTGGATTTATGTGTATGGGAAGGTATAGTGATACTAGGGAACACCCCTGAAACAGTTGCTTCTAAGAGGTAGAATAGAGCTTCCTGTCCTTGTCAGTGTTTGCACAGTGAAGCCTGTTGAGGGAACATTTCAGTTTCTTGGCTCAATTGATGTTTTGATTGATCCTTGGTTTCATATATATATATGTGATTTCTATTTGATGTATACGAGTGTATTGCCTGCATGTATATAAAAGTGCACCTGTGTTGTGCTATGTCTGTGGAGGTCAGAAGAGGGCATTGGACCCCCTGGAACTGGAGTTATGGATGACTGTTAGCTACCATGTAGGTGCTGTGAACTGAACCTGGGTCCTCTCAGCCAGTGCTCTTAACTACTGAGCCATGTCTCCAGCCCCCCTCAGTTTCTTCTTCACCTAGAGCTGGTTGGAGAAAGGATACTTGTTAGCTTTAGGCTAAGTAAGATTCAGTTTATTAAAACCTGGAAAGCAATTTGTAAATCTCTAGGCACAAAATGGCCCCATTTGCATTTTTTAGTATAGCTAGCACAGTAAATTTGAGATGCCATGGATCTCAAGGCCTTATTTCACAGAACACTTTAAGTAAAAGACCACCAGTCTAAGAATTACATGATGCTAAAGTGTTCTTTGATTCTAAGAATCGTCTGTAATCTGTGATTTTAATGATGAAAAACTATTCTTATAGAATTTGTGAAATAGAATGTTTCTTCTGCTATTTAATTATGCTTATCTGTAAGACTAGGACTATCTCCCTGCAAGGGGGAAAGATATATCTGTGCATACATATATACAAATAATTTAATGTGTACATTCCTAAACTCCTTGGTGGTCTTTAAAAATCAAAACAGATAATTTATGGGAAAAAAACAAGATCAAGACATATCATTCAATCTCTAGAGCACTTATGAAACTGCTATTGATTTTAGTAAAAACACTTGCACATTTGGAGAGAAACATTAGCTTCCTAATAAAAATACAGATGAAGGATTTTATAGTTTAGAAAGGTAAAAGCTTGATTGAAGGAGGTTTGAAGATTGAAAACTAATGAGTAATGTTGCAAAGGGAAAATATTCAAATATATTTGAGTACCATGCAGTGAGCACCCACAAAACAAGGTCTGTGACTAAACTGAGTCAGGAAGATGACTTGGGGGTACGTGGAGTGCATTACAGTCTAGTTGTGGGTATAGTAGAATGGACTTCCATCTTTGGTAATAAAAGACAAGGAAGTGTTGGGGGCAAAGTTCGTAGACTAAAGCGTCTTCAGTGTTACACTTTCTTCGTGCTCATTCTTACCAATTAAAATGAGCTAATCTGTGGAAAGAACATATGCATTATAATGCAGCAGATTGAATTATCAGCTGCTCTGTATATATTCAGTTTTCATCTTGACAAGATTGTTTCTACCTCTTCAGCTTTTCCTGTGCTTTAACCTCCTTTATTATAGCTGCTCCAGGCCTCAGTGATTAATCTGTGTTTCTGAGCACTGGTTGGCTCTATTACTCATTTGGTTTCTAAAATATGACATTACGGGGGCTGGAGAGATGGCTCAGTGATTAAGAACACTGACTGTTCTTGCAGAAGACCCAGGTTTGAATCTCAGCACCCATAGTCTATAAAAGTGTCCATATATGCCTGGAGTGACATAAACGAAATCAAGTGAGGAAAGGAAAAAAATTATCATGCAAGACCTAAGTATGGACACATCTATCTCAACTGGAGATAACTCAGGTAACAGCTGTCCATAACTCCAGTTTCAGGGGATCTGACGGTCTCTTCTGTCCTCCATGGGCATTGCGTGGCACGGGTGCACTCACCTACATGCAGGCATGCATACACATAAAATAAAAATAATAAAATTAAAAAAAAAAAGACATTACATTTTTCTTCTTTGTTTTTCCCTGCTCATCTCTAAGGTCTTTGGCCCATGGCCTTCTGATTTATATATATTATACATAGGCCATAACTTTATACTCTGTGCATTGTCTAATAAATTTTGGAGGTAGTTTATCTTTCAACAATAATACCTCCCTGAAAACATGTACAGAAGTCAAGTGGGGGAACTCTGTGCAGTAGACTTAATATATTTTATGGAAAGCTAAATAATGTAAAGGCCCTGATAATGCGCTGTCTTTTGAGTACTGTATTTATATTTCCAGTCTTAACATAATCTTTAACTTTTTTCTTTGCAGTTGAACATAGTTTTCAGAGTTGAGTTCACTGGGCATCCAGTTGAGATAGATGTGTCCATACTTAGATATTGCAGGATAATTTTTCTCCTTTACTCACTTGATTTCATTTATGTCACTTCAGGCATATAAGGACACTTTTATAGACTGTCTTCCTTTTTGTGAAATATATAATACCTAGTTACATATTGAGGATGACTCAGCCAGTATTACAGAGCAGCACAGGCTGATGATAGTCAAAATTAGATAAATGGCACTGGTTTCCAGTGGTACTGTATGATTGAAAGACAAGTTGTTCAAAATTTAAGGCTTATATTTTTGGTAAATTTTTGGATTCTGGTAAAATCAGTTGTTTTTGGAGAGTGAAAATTAATCTATAGTTTAATTTTATTATATAAATAAATCTGGAATGTTTTCTTAGATGAATAAATAGGTTTAATGTATAGCTTAAAATATAAGTACGAAGAGAATATAAGAAGGTAAGGTGAAATACTAGAAAAAGCTCAATGAGATGGTCTTGGAGATTGGGGGAAAGAAGGAAAACACAAGGTTAGTAAGTAGTCAGAGGACCTTTGAACACAGAGTATGTATGCTTTGTCTTTGCATATTTCTGTTTTCATTCATTATTGTGTAATGTGAATAACTGGCTGAGTGGTGATCAGAATTCTTGTGTGTTTGTGTGTGTGTGTGTGTGTGTGAATATGTGGGTGTGTACCTCCACACATGCACATGCAGAGGCCAGAGCAGAACATCAGGTGTCTTTATCACTTTCGGTTTTAGTGCCTTGAGACAGGATCTCTCACTGAGATAGAAACTTGATGTTTCAGTTCACCTGGCTGGGCACAGTGCTCTTGGGATCTGCCTGTCTCCACACCCTAGTACAGAGTTTACAATCGTATGCAGCCATGTCTGGTTTTTGCATGGCTGCTAGGCATTCAAACTCAGGTCACCGTGCTTGCAAGTCAAGCACTCTTACCTACTAAGTCGTCTTCCCAACCCCAGAATTTTTTATTTTTTAGCTTATTTTTTTTCCCAGTACTGAGGATTGAATTAGGGCCTTATGCATATTAGGGAAACACTTACCTCGAGCTACTTCCCCCATCCCACTTACCTTCCCTTCTGTTAAAAAACAAGAAAAACTTGAGGGAAGCTGGCCATATTACAGCAGTCTTCAATTGTTTTGTATTCTAGCTGCTCAGTTTATTTACTCACGGCGTGACAACGCTACAGAAGATGATTACGAAGATCTGAAAGAGTCTTCTAATTCTCCCTTGAATCACCAGTTAAGTGAAATTGATCAAGGTATGGAACTAAAAAAAACAGTGTATTATTTCTTACTGAAAATGATCAAGCATCAAATATACCCGAATTTATGATTATTTCTAATAGTGATTATGGACAGTAATGATGCAAGCATATCTTATGTTTTTGAGGAAAATTTCCATTTCATTAAGTATCTTTTAGGAGGAATCTGTTTTCTTGTGTGATTGAAAAATTGTATAGCAGTTGTTTAGTAACTGGGATTTTTTTGATTGGGTTTTCCCATTCATCTTTTACATGGGAGAGAAATGCCAGGATTTATTATCAGAATTTTATAAGAATTTGATACATGTGCTCTGTAGAGCTTATGCCAGATTACAGGAACTCCTTTATTTACAAGAATGATAAATTCCAAGATGTTTAAAAAAAAAGAATTGAAGACGAAAGTAACACTATACAGCGACCCTGATTGTTGATATCACTGTGAGTTAATTTTCAAGATAGAACTTTGGAGTGGTAAATGGCGTTGTTTGTTTATTTTCAACTCTTTTAAACATTGAAAAAAAGATACCTATGTTTTGGCTTCCTTTTACAAATAAATTCACATAGGACGGACATTGCTTCAAGCATCACTCAAGATTGATAGAGAGCTGAGATGGCCAGGTGCTTTGGACATGCTGTCTGGAGATGGAGCAAGACTGAGCTAATTTGCTCTTCTTTGCAGTTCAACTTTTTTCTGCAAATGTTTTTAACACAAAAGTTTATAATTAATTTGGAAACAGAAAGAAAAAATGGAGGACTCTGTAAGCTGATCTTTGAATATGTTAATGTTAATAGACTACTAGCTGATAACAAAAACAAGATAAATGGAAAGAAGGTGTAGACATAAAATTAAGAGCAGAAATGATCAAGACAGAAGACATAGAATGATTTTCTGCATCACCTCTGTGAATAATAGATTTGATACTCTGATGAAAGTGTGAACTCAGTAGTAGTTCACTGTCCTTTTAAAGGAGCTTTGTAATTACCGTCATGGGGCAAGTGGGTAGGAGTAAGAGTTAAGTCCCTTTCTGCTGTGTGCACTTCAGTAGACGACTAAGGAGTCAGGAAATCCAAAGTTAGACTTGAGAAAGAAAGGTCCTTTTCCAACCTGATGTGTAACTAATTACATGACAGTAATAATTGTGATTCCCTTTTACTAAATGCTTTTCAGGCACTGTGCTAAGCATGGTTCATGTATTAACATACTTAATCTTCACAGTAGCCGCCTCAGGTAGCATAGTTACCATTATTTTATAGGGACACTAGTAGGATGTGAGTTAGGCCAGCCTTCCACACAGCCTCTCCATTTAACTTTCTTGGCACATTCCTCATTATGAATGTGTAGAAAGTAGTTCCTATAATTATTAGAGATTCTGATGATAGCTGTGCTATTTCCTTCCAATTTCAATGATTCATGTATTTATCAAATAGCTGTTACTTCCCCAGTATTGCCTGTTAGCCTTTTAAAATAAATCTTATACTGAAGCAAAGCAGACTTGCCCAGGTATTTAAGAAATTTATTCTTGGGGCTGGAGAGATGGCTCAGCGGTTAAGAACACTGGCTGTTCTTGCAGAAGACCCGGGTTCGAATCCCAGCACCCATGTGGAAGCTAACAGCTGTCCGTAACTCCAGCCCCAGGGGATCCAGCAGCCTCTTCTGACCTCTGCAGGCATTGCACGACATGGGTGTACTTACCTACATGCAGGCAATACATGCATACCATAATATTAAAAAAAATAAAAAAAATTAAAAAGAAATTTATTCTTAATGATTAAAAATTACAGCTAAGCATCCAACAGTTTTTTTTTTACTATATAATTTTATTTTTTATGTGTATAAGTGTATTGCCTGCATGTATATAAGTGCACCTGTGTTGTGTAGTGCCCATGGAGGTCAGAGGAGGGCATGGGATCCCCTAGAACTGGAGTTGTGAACTCTTGTTAGCCACCATGTGGGTGCTATGAACTAAACCCAGGTCAGGTCATCTGCAAGAGTAGTGAGTGCTTTTAACCACCGAGCCATCTCTCCCGCTCCCCACTACAGTTTTTACAAAGGAAAGGTCTTGCTAATAGATTTCTTTGTTCAACATTTAGACCTGTAAAACACAATATAAGTTTGCATTCTGTGCAAAGCTTTTGCATATAGTTATTCGACACAATAGAGTTATTATAAAAGGTCTGTATATGTGATAATTGTGAAAATGACCAAGAGTTATATATAGTCAAACGACTATACTTATTTTATCTTTTAGCCTCTGGGCACCAGGTCCTGTTTTAGCTCCCAAGGAGTGCTCATTTCCTTCTTAATCTCTTGGACTTGCTTGTTTTGCTCATTTTTAAAGGGTGATTTTAGTTATGGAGAACTCAAAGTAGCTTGGAAGAAAACTTAAAAGTAGTAATTTATAGAATGTAAGAAATATAGTTAGTGATTAACAGGGTTTACCAGCAAGTTAGAAATAGTCCCACACAGCTTCTTCATCTCTCTGTGCATTCTAAACATGATCAATGTAGACGCCATCATCACTCTGAAAATGTGTGTGCCATTTGTATTAAAAGATTCATTTTCTATTTTTTTAATTATGTATATATGTGTGTGACCATGTTGTGGGTATGTACATGAGAGTGAAGGTACCTGCAGAGTGCAGAAGAGGGTGTTGGATACCCTGGACCTGGAGTTAGAGGGTGTTGTGAGCTGCCTTATGCAGGTGCTGGGAACCGAACTCTGGTCTTCTGGTAGAGCCATCTCTCCAGCCCCATCCATTTGTTTTTCCTTAGGCAGGCAGTGTTGCTCTGAGGAAATTTATCCTCATCCTGGATTGAAAATAGTTACTATGTATAATTTATATCTTTTTTCTAGCAGTGTTATTCGGGAACATTTATTACATTGATTTCTTTGTTAATGAGCTATGAGAAAACAGGTGTAGAGTAGATGCAGTATTATTATAAGTAATCTTTTTCTGAGAGAAGGAAGGTTTGACTAACCTAGTATCATTTCAAATTTTCTTGTCAAACTTGAAGTTCCAGGGTTCATTCATGATGCCATATACTATGGCTTTTTAATCCCTATTTGTTCTAGCTCGTCTTTATTCCTGCCTTGATCACATGAGAGAGGTGCTGGGAGATGCTATGCCAGATGAAATCCTGATTGAAGCCATTCTCAAGAACAAGTTTGATGTGCAGAAGGCTTTGTCAGCGGTTCTGGAGCAAGGCAATGTGCAGAATGTGCAGGGCAGGAGTGAAAGAGCAGTGTCTGCTGGAAAGGCAGCAAAAGGTATGCCTTTACCTGCTCTCTTCCAGTCATTTTTTGAGGTTTGAAGAGTACGGCGTTCCCCTCCTTACAGCCTGGGTGTGTGGTGTGTGTTGGATTGTGTGGTTGGGGTGTGTGGTATGTGGATTATGTGTGTGTTGGCAAAATCAGTAACCCAAGGGAAATAAAATCAAAGAAGACTTTTTTCTTTTTGTTAGGTTCTTATTGAACTATTTTTTTTTTCATCCTAATGAGATAAGAGACAACTGAATACCCAGCCATTTAAGGTTAAAAATTCCTCTGGTACTTATATATAGATAATAATTTCATTTAAAGAAAGTATGTTTCTGTGGGGAGAGGGCTTATGTGTGTTCTTTGAATTGATCATTATGAGAATGAGTCCACAATATGTCTTCTGTATTAATAGTGCATCCCCAGATCACAGAAGAATTCCCAGGGTATTGTCTGCTTATTGTTTTTTTGTTTGTTTGTTTGTTTTTTTGCCTGTGCCCCTGTAGCTGGTGATTAAAAGGGCCACCCGCGATGGGCAGGCGGCGCGAGCAATGTGCTATGGCGCTGCAGCTTAACCCCCAGTGCCGTGAGGAGGCACAGCGGGTGCTCAAAGACAGCGCATGCTTATTGTTTTTAATGTGTTGAAATGCAGAAGAAAATGAACCTAGCCCTTTCCATTTTAAAAAAGAAGTTTTTGAATTTAAGGTAGTAATGACTATAATTTCATTATATTAGAACTTAATATTGTTAAATTCATGAAAATTAGAGCATTGGCTTGGTATTTACCATTACATATGCCAGTGAACATAATGTGATGGTCACTTTAGATTGTTACAGGTAATATTCCTTTATTGTTTTTCCCATGGTCACCCAGTCATTAAATAATGCACAAGTATTGCTTTATTTATATCATAATCAAAGGAAGCACTTAGTAATTAAATGCCTCATTTCATGTTTTCTTTTGGTTGCTGTGCCTGTCTTCTGCAAATGTCAACTTTCTCATCTGAAAATTAATGGCCCCTGTAAGGTAAGGAGTCTTATTTTCTTCTTTTGAAGTTTCAGCTGATAATGTTCAAAGTTCTTATTCTCAATCGGAAAATCATTTGAATTGCAGTAGCAAGTCCTTTGATTTTTCTAGCTCGATAGCAAAATATGGATCACATAATTCTTCAGTTGTGCCAAGTCAGTATTTACTCCATAGGAAAAAGAAACTTGACAGGCCTAAAAGTGAAAAGGAACTAGAATCATGTAAGTTAACAAAAGAGCTGTCCCTAGCTGACCTGATTCACAGTATGCCAAGAGATTCTTGTGCAAGTCAGCCCTCAGCCGGACTGCCAGCCACAGACAGTCTAGGAAGCCTGTGTTCAAAGAGTCTAGATGCTGATGTGTTAAGACCTCCTGCATCTGGATGTGCTTCCAAAGATGATGTTGCTTTCAAAGGAATTCCAGATTTAAAGTTCTTAATGAGAGAAAGTGTAAAGTCTAATGATTCTTTGGTTATTCACAGCAGCTCACTATCTGATTTCCAAAACATTCCAGTGCAAAACTGCTTGGACAGTTTAAATAATCCTTTACAGCTACCTAGGTCGTTGGAAGATAATTTAAATCCTATAAACACTGAAGTTGGAAATACTTCTTTAGGTGGACAGAGTGCCAAGAATAACATTTTAAAACCCAATAGTTTGTCCTTTTCCCAGTGTGGAAGTCTGTCCCTAGCTGAGCTGTTTCAGAAACACAGAGAAGACAGTCCAAGCCAGTCCTTTGCTTTATCTGATCTGTGTAACCAGTCATCAGCCAGTGTGGGATCCTTTCCCCTGTCACAACTAGCAAACTGCTGTCAGTCTTCTAGTGGAATATCAGAGTTAACAGGATCTCTGTCATCTTTGGCATTTTGTAAAGCTTCTCCCACAAGAGACCTGGAGAATTTGTCACTTTCTGATTTGATTGCAGGAACTATTGAACTAGACAACTCTCAGATTAAGAAAGATTCCTTTGAGCTCACTTTATCTGAAATGAGGAATCCTGGAATAGATTCAAATATTGATCTTAGTGTCCTGATAAAAACTCCAAATTTTGTTCCAAAGCCAGTAGTTGACCCATCAGTTGCTCCAACACCAGAAACTAAAATTTCTTGTTCAAAATTAGGGAAAAATTCCAGTTCTGCTAAGGATAGTAAGAAAAACAAAAAAGACTCTCTTACTAAGAAACTGCCTTTTTCTCTGGCTTGGACCAAGGCCCTTGCTGCTAGACCTTCAGCATTTGCTTCAACACTGTGTCTTCGTTACCCACTGAAAAGCTGCAAGAGGCGCACCCTTGACCTCTACAAGACTTTCCTTTATAGTAGACAAGTTCAAGATATATCTGACAAAGAATTAAGTCCTCTTGTAGCAATAACACCATTTGACTTCAAATCAGCATCTCCTGATGACATTGTAAAAGCTCATCAAAAGAAAGCATTTACTAGAGAGTAGTGACAAAAGGAAAACTTGGTTCCTGTTGTAAGCTTTTTATTTTAATGTAAAGTCTTTGTAGGATCACTATTAGGGGATTCAAATTGTGATTTTTATTAAAATTATCTTGTCGTTTATAATTTAAGTTGATAATGTATTTTTGCACTGAGAATTTTTTTAGATGATATCTTGTAGTAATGACTGGCTTAATCTGAGTTGATAGCTCATATGAGTGTATGTTTACAAAGTGCATATGATAACTTGGTATTGCAAAATTGAGCCTCAGATCTTTTCATTTGCCATTCAGCTTTCTAAGTTTTTGCAATGAGATGTTCTATAAAATATTTTTGTGCTTTTTTTTTTCTTAAATGAAAAAAATGCAGCTACTTGGGATTATCACAGTTTGAAGATTATTTTTAGGATAATAGAGATATATAACATTGCTAAGATACACTTATATTTTAAAAGACTACTGGTATCATTCTTAGTTTATTATTTTATTTAGGTGAGTACTAAATTTTTTCTATTAGAAAACCTTAAAATTCTTGATTTTTGAGAGTACTATGAAATTTGATTAAGCAACATTTTTGATTATAATAAAATGAAAATCTTTTAAGGGACCATGTAAATATTGAAGGTGGATTAATACATAAATTATTTTTATATATTATACATTTTATACATTTCAAAGCCACATTTGTCCAAAACATATTCTTTGAAATAAACATACAGAAAGTGTTTTGAAGTATGGTTGCATGTTGTTTAAATAGCTGTACCAGAGCTCTGTCATGGTTTCTTTTAGGTAAGTAACAAGCTGTGGAGCCTTCCTCTTTGCTCATGATGACTGTGTGCCCACTGGTCACAAAGTTTTAGCAGTAGCAGATCACACGCGAGCTCTGGTAGTTAGTGGGATAAGCATGTTTTCATCTATAATCTGTAGCAGTGCTCCTCAGGCAGCAATCAGTCACTGGGCGTATAGTTTCAAAACACAGCCACTCTTGCTTCTTTTCTGACTTGCTGAGTTGAGTTTCTGAGGGAGGCCCTTGGAGAGATGTTTTCCAGGTAATGATGGTGCCCACGTCTACTTGAGAATGGGGAGTGGAATTTTTAATGCCCAAAATAACCGACCAACTTAATTTCTAAAAATCAGGAATACCAAGGAAAATTGCTAGTCAGGAATAATGGCCTTTGGATTAGAATACTAATGGAGTGTTAGTGTTTTGGTTTTTTTGTTTGTTTTTTGAGACAGGGTCTCCCTGTAGCCCCAGCTGTCTTGGAACTTGTTCTGTACACCAGGCTGGCCTTGATCTCACAGAGATCCATCTGCCTCTGCCTCTCAAGTGCTGGGACTAAAGGTATGTGCCACCACACCAGGCTAGTGTTAGTGTTCTTTTGCATAAAATAATACAGTAATAAATAAAATGTTATTTCTTAGTGAAAATGAAGCAGCTGCCCTTTTTTCTAGTAAAATTCTTTCCTCTGGCAGCTTCTTTATTATGGCATTGACACTTTCTTTATGTTGTTTGTTTTTAGATTAACATTCCAGTGTTCTTAGCTAGCCGTAGTATTCTCGTATACAGTACTTCTGTAGGAAAAGTTTAGATTGCTCTTGACCAAATGTTTCTTGCTTTTCTCCCTATGCTGGGATTGAACTCAGGACCTTTTGCATGCTAGGAAAGAACTTTTTCCACTTAGCTGCAGGGCCAGCCCTCCATTTTGATTTTAATTGACTATTTCGTTGCTCATAATATTTAAGGATTTTAAAAATCACAAGCTGTGTTTTATGATCAATATTAAAATTTGAATTACTCCTAACTTCTGCATTTGGTTTTCTAGACTTTCACCTCAGTTAGTTTAGTAGCTGAGCTATTTGTATGACTTAACAACTATATACTGTATAGCAGTGTTCAGTTTAGGATTGAATTTATTCTAAGAATTTGTAATTGATAGTTACTTCTGCTAGGTTAAGCCCTGTACAAATGGTCTACTTTACACATAAAGCCACATATTTTTACTTAACCCACACTACAGATGACTTGACCTTCTTTTATAACAAATGAATTTTTGAGTCAAGAAACAGTACTTTTAATGCACGCTTGGTAGGTTAACTGTGTGCCCCTGGTTAGGATTGAAACGACTCAGGAGATTGTTCTTGTGCGGAAAAATGTTCATTATATGTAATACATATGTACTTTTACTTTTTAAAAGAAAAGTTCTAGCCTCCCTCCTTTTCTTATCTTGGCTACTGCCTGTCAGGCACATACTTGACAAGCACTATTCAGAGGTGGAATCAAGAAGCCTCCCCTGCTTTCTACCGTTGACCATTGGCCTTTGGTAAAAGACGAGTGCTGCTTCCTTTGGATGACTGTTTGTACCAAATGGGCATTCTGCACCATGTGCTGGTCATTAACTGGCTGCTGTCTTGGTAGCTCAGGGATGTTGAATGAGTAGAGTTTATTGTCTAGCTCAGATACCAGTTTTTGAGATGCAAAGCCATTTCTGTTTGCATTATGATCAAATGGAATCATAATGGAAATGGGATTACATTGTAAATGTTATAAAAGACACTCAAAGTGATAATTTATGCTCTTTCTTCGATCTTTAAGGGATCCTATGTTCATGGATGTTTTATCCTTCTGTATTCTAAAGGGTTAGAGTTAGTTGCACAGAACTAGAGATTCATTCTGTACAGAACATTGAACTGTTTGATATTTGCCTCCGTTCTCACATGCATTGTCACCTATTTTCCTCCCTTTAGCTTTGAATCCTTTCTTGAACTTTTACCCTTTCTTTCTCAAAGCAGTAGTAACTTTTCTCAGTGTATTATATTTAATTTTTAGTATATTTTTAGTTGTGTGATTAGTGGATAATCATACAACTAATTTACACACCTAGGATAAAACTAGTAAGATGCTTTTCTTTACATATAAAAGGAAGCACTTAATCAGTGAAGTGTGAATTCTTAAATGGCAATTTTCTTTTATATTGACCTCAAATCTGTATTTGGATCATTATATTGGAAAAGAACAGTGTCAGTAAGCTTTTTGTTTTATGGTCATAAAAGTTTATTTGATGATAAAATGAGTTTTGTGATAGCTTATAAATTGTGTTGTTATATTTATAAATGGGGTGTGTATAAGCAAAGATAATGTTTGCTAGAAAGAAGGATCTAAAGAAATGTTTATAGTAGTTTTTTAGCTGTGTACATATAGTTGTATAAGACTGTAATTGTGTAATTGATTTTTAGGCCATGAAAACTTGTCACATTTTGAGTGTAATACGCATTTTTTTAAAAAGCTGCATTGAAAGAAATTATAATTCTGAAGTTTCTGAAGTGTGAAAACATAATTTATCCATTGGAAGTTTCTATATAAACTTGATATGGCAGAATGGAATTTTGGTAATTTATGCAGAAAGTGCTGTTTCATGTTTCTATAAACAAATTGAAAAATACTCCATTTAGTTGTGAAGAAATTTTTTCTAAGATATTCGTCATTTAAAATTTTTGTTTTTCATGGGGTAAAATTCCATGTATGTGTATATTTTTATTTATTTTACATTTTATGACTCACATAGAAACACTGAGTTCTCATATAGGTTAGAGTGAATAGTGATGGATTGCTGAGATGACAGTGGAAGGTGAGAGAGTCAAGTGCGCATGTTCAGTCTTGCTATGCCTGATTTCTGTTGTGCTGCTTAGAGAGGAACATTTCAGTTGCAAGTGATATGGCAAGGTGAACAAATTTAGGAGACTTAGGGGAAGGTAGATGTGGACATGTATGTAGCATGTTGTAGCTAATATAACATTACAGTCTCTGAAGCTGATGTCTTTCTTTTCCTCTTCTGAAATGCCTCTTTACCCTCTTTTTCCCGTCTTTATTAGTATCATCATCTTCCAGTTGCCTAGATCAGAAACCTGCATCATCCTTGTTTCCTCTCTCTCTGACCTGCTCCCTATAGTTGATTACCACTCTTATTTCTGACTTACAAATATTTATGTGTATACATGTGCATACAAAGAGTAATTTCTTGTTGTTTGTGGTAATTATATGACTGCAAATACTGAATTAGTAAGTACTGAGACATGCCTCCTATAGGAAATGCATGGTGAGTTTTTTGTAAAGCTTTGGACCCATTCCCAGAAACCACTCAGAATAAACCTTGTTTTATGTGTGCTCCTAGTAAAGTCATTATTCAGAACAATATATTTCACTACATCTCATTGATTAACATTGAACTCACAGATAACAGTCCAGGACTGGAGAGATGGCTCAGCAGTTACGAACACTGACTGTTGTTGAAGAAGACCTGGGTTCGAACCCCAGCACCCACTGGCAGCTGACAACTGTCTGTAACTCCAGTTCCAGTGGGATCTGACAGCCTCTTTTGTCCTCCGCAGGCATTGCACAACACGGGTGCACTTACCTACATGCAGGCAATACACACATATACATAAAATAAAAATAATAAATAAAATATTAAAAAAACAACGCCCCCTAAAAAAATCAGTCCATAACTTAATGCCTTATCTAATGTGCATCTGTTACTTGTTAGGCATCTTACAGTCTTCTAATGCTTGGAGATTTTAGAGAATACATAGTACTCTACTTGCAACCCATTTTAATCAGCAATTACCAACAGACAACACAGAAAACCATGATACCAAATCAACCATGAAAGTACACTTATTTGCAATATTATGTGTTGAAACAAACAAACAAACAAAAAATAGTGTTGCTGTGCTTGATCTTACCTGGGAACTTGCGTATTGGTGATGCAAATTGTTCGCTCTTCTACACATGCCTGCAAGGTACTGCCACAGTGCTGTGATTCAGTTTATTTTCTCAAAATATTTCATACATTAGAGCCAGAGTAATTTTTCTAAAAATGCTAATATAATTTTCTGCTTTTCTTTGTAAGTTCACTCATTTCCTAAGCCCCTTTATGAACTGATGTGTTTGGTTTACCTTCATGCAATCTCATGCAAGCACACGTCCTTGAGCTTCCTTTGTTCCCCTTTGCATCTCTTGTCCCTGCTGATTTCACATTGGAGTTCAGATCAAACATTGCTTCTACCCTAGAGCATGGGGTCTTTATATGCATCTGTTGCTCACTGTGTTCCTCTTATTACTGCTCTGTATGAGCAGTACCCCATCTGTGGTCGTGTATACACTCTTTCTATTGTAACATTGCTTTATTGTACCTCACAGCACCTGTGGCCTCTGACTCGGTGTATGTGTGCAGGCTTTATGTTTGCTTTTGCAGAAATTTTACATGGGTATTACACATATGTGAATGTATACATACATTTCTACACAAGCCGGAGTATACCATTACAGTTCTTATATCTGTAGCACATAATACAACATTCTACATACTGTTATTTTAATATGTACAGATTGATCTCAATAAATTAAAAAGCTTCATAGAAGCTTTATATAATCATTCTATAATATGATTATATAATCATTCATATAGCCCTTGTTGATAAACATTTTAAGAGTCTCCAGTTGATATTGTTAATGATACCAAAACAAATACCCTTTTTCTAGATACTGAAATATTAACTTAAAATTTTTGATACATGCTGCCTAATTGACTTTAATAAAGATTGTACTAATTTCCTTTCCACCAGATTATAAATGTTTCTGTCCCAGTTTTGAAATAGGAATGCTCTTTTGGTTTGAGGCCAAACTAATACTTGGAAAACATTTTTTTTTTTGTTTATTTTATGTTTCTTTAAGGAAGGAGGCTGTCTGCCTTTTCATGTCTTGTCTGCTCTTCACTTCTGCCTATTTTTTTTCTGGTTTAACTTTCAAAAGTTTGAGGGATACGGGTATATGCCTGTATCTTGAACACACATGCACTTATATACCAGAAAAATTAATCCTTTTAATCCTTGTTACTTCTGATTCCTATTTAATCATTTCTTAAGTTTTTGTCTTTTTTATATGGTTTTTATTCTGTTGTGCACATTGGACTAGAATTCACTGTATAGTCCAGGCTTTCTCCTACTCCTCAAACTCCTGCCCCAGCCTTCCGAGGGCTGGGATGTTGGTTATGCACCACCACTCTTGGCTCTTAGGTTACATTTTAGAAGAAAAGTTTTCAGTTTTTATATCAATATATCTTTTTTTTCCTTAGGATATTTTTGTTTTTAGAGTTCTACTTTGCTCTAAGTTACTAAGAATGAAATAGTTTATTGTTTAATACCTTGGATAGATTCATTTTTTGGCTTTTTCATCTTTGATCCAGTGCTATTAAGGGTTAACATAACAATAAATTGGTTTCCCCACCAACATCTCCTATCCTTATGGCAAGGCTGGTTCCTTTGTGGACTTACACATCCTTTGTTTCAAATGGTGCCTGTGACACATGCAAACTCTTCTCCATTTATCTTGGAGCTCTACTCATACATTTTAAGGCACCATAGCTTTATATTCCTGTTAGGTTTTAATATTTTATAGGCTGTCTTTCTTAAAAAATTGTTTTCCTCAGTTATTTACATAGCTCCCCTCTCCAATTTAAGCTTTAGAAAAAAGGATGCTTAATGATAGGACTGTGTTTTTGGAGAAAGGGAAATACTTCATAAAATTAGTTTACAATTGTTGGCTAGAACTTGCTGTTTAGCCCAGGCTGGTTGAAAGTCATGATCCTCCTGCTTCAGCCTTCTGAGTCCTAGGATTGCAGGTGTGCCACTATACCCAGCTCCCAGCTATTTTCAGATTTGTTGATTCTTCATGATTAGACCTGATTTTAATTTTGATTGGATCCCTTATCTTCTCTTCCTTCCGAAGTATTTATGCACAAAATATTTCTCACATTATTAAGTATGTAAAAGTGATTTTGTGTATGTTTTCATGACTAATTAGTTGCTGTTCTTGGTGCTGTGACTAACCAGACAAGCAACTTAAGGAAGGAAGGATTCATATGGACTCATAGTTTGAGGGCAGATCCATTAGGCTAGAAGCACAGGACAGGGCTATAAAACCCTAAGACCTGTCCCCAGCCACCCACTTCTTCCAGGTAGGCCCCACCTCCTAAAGGTGTCCCAGTCTCCCCAAACAATACGACCAGCTGGGAATGCATTGTTCACCGACAGGAACCTGTGGGGCTGCTTCACAGGCACACACAGCTAGCTAGTCTGATTCTGTTTTGTCTGGTGTGGCTTTCGTTTCACAGTAGCCGTATTCTAATCTTCCTCTGTTCCTCTGAGCTTGGTGACTTTATAGTTCTCGCTCTTGTTTTAAAAATCTTTTCATCCTTTGTGTGTTTATGTTCTTCTTAGTGAGAGTATCTTTTCTATATTTCATATAATAGAATATAAAAACAGCTTCTTTTTTTTCATATACTTTGCCTTGTTCCTATGCTTTTAAATAGTTTGTGTTATGCTTTCTTAGACTACCTTCCTATAGCCTGCCTGTCCTGGCCTGCTTGAATATTTGCGTTTGGGAATTTATTTATTTATTTTAATATGTTTTTAGAGATTTTTTTTTTTTTATGTTTGTATCAGTGTGTCCGTGTTTGTGTATAGGTGTGTGGATAGGTGCATGTGAGTGCAGGTACCCGTGGAGCCCAAAAGCATGTGTCAGATTATGTGGAAATGGAGTTACAGATTGTTGCGAACCTCCTGAGAACTGAATTCAAGTCTTCCACAAGAGCAGGACAGGCTCTTACCTGCTGAGATCCTGGAGTTCTCTTTTTGACAGTATTGATGGAGAATAATGTAGGGGTGTGGGGTTGAGCTTGGGTCATCTTGTACTCTTGACCTGTTCTTGATGAATGCTTGCTTCAGTACAGTTTTCCTCAACATTTCAGAGAAATTCTTTTTCTGAAGGTTTTTAGGATGTCCTTGCTATTGGTGTGGATGGGTTCTGAGACTCTTCCTCTATTTAAACATCTCCACATTTTGCTTGATTCACAGTGTTGACTCTTGGATTCTCCAGCTGTGGAGAGCTGTGTGATTTGGACCATAATCCATAGTCAAATGTAATCCTAATCATCCCCTTGCCCAGTTTGGTCCAAATTTTTGCTTGGTAGATGCTCTTCATAGTTTAATGACTTAATTTGGGGGAAAATGGAATAGAAATAACTGTTTTGACTCTAACTTTATGTGTTTTTCCATGGATATTAAAAATTTTGAAACGTATGAATAATTAGTGAACATGAGAAATACTAAGCCTTATCACAAAGGGTTTGGAAAATAGGTATAATGATTCCAGTGTTCATATCAACTTTGTATCTAAATAGTCTAGAAGGAAATTCATTTCTCATTAAGAGAATTCTGTAATATTTTTGTATTTTTAAGATTTTAGAAGTATAATTTCTAAGGCCTCAATTCTGATAATATGATTTTGTTAGCATGTATGTTGAAACACACTAGTAACAAATACATATAAACCTTAGAGTGGATTGTCATGCAATTTTGTTACATGTTCCTATCAGTGAGCTGC